GTATCGTCACGATAGTTCATGGAGGGCGAACTTGGGTCGTGATACTTCCCAAATCTCATCACGCCCTTCATGGGCGACACCCGAAGCAACACTCTCTCTTCGACCACGAATGCTAGCACGAACTTTACAAGCGGTATAACTCTTTTGTCTGGACTGAGCTGTACGAAGTCTATCCTGAATGATCTCAACCTTATCCAAGGCATCCCGTACTAAATCTGTACCCAACAATCGACCCTCCCCCGGCTCAAACCTCCCAACCGGTGATCGACACCATCTACCATATAATGCCTTATAGGGAGCCATCTAGATGCTCGATTGATAGTTGTTGCTATAGGAAAACTCCGTTAACGACAAGAACTGATCCCAAGAACCTCCAAAGTCAATAACACATGCGCGAAGCATATCCTCTAAAATTTGAATAGTACGCTTGGACTACCTGTCCATCTGAGGATGCAATGTTGTGCTCAACTCGACCCGCATACCCAACTTACGCTGCACTGCCCTCCAGAAATGCAAAGTAAACTGCATGCCTCAGTCAGATATGATAGACACAGGCACACCATGAAGAGGAACGATCTCCCGAATATAGATCTCCGCCAATGCTCCGAAGAAAAAGAAACTGCCACAGGAATGAAATGAACTGACTTAGTTAGCCTATCCACAATAACCCATACTGCGTCAAACTTCCTCTGAGTCCGTGGGAGTCCAACAATGAAATCCATAGTGATACGCTCTCACTTCCAATCGGTAATCTCAATCTCCTGGAGCAAACCACCAAGTCTCAGATGCTCGTACTTTACCTGCTGACAATTCAAACACCGAGCTACATATGAAACAATATCCTTCTTCATCCTCCTCCACCAATAATGTTGCCGCAAGTCTTGATACATCTTGGCGGTACGCGAATGAATAGAATACCGAGAACTATGGGCCTCCTCTAGAATCAACTCATGAAGTCCATCCACATTAAGCACGCAAACACGACCCTGCATCCTCAAAACTCTATCATCTCCAACTGTAACCTGCTTGGCATCTCTGTGCCGCACTGTATCCCTAAGGACAAGCAAATAAGGGTCATCATACAGCCGATCTCTGATACGCTCAAATAATAAAGACTAAGCGACTATACAAGCTAGCACACAGCTGGGCTCAGAAACATCAAACCTCACGAACTGATTGGCCAAAGCCTGAACATCCAAAACAAGCGGTCTCTTACCGACTGGAATATATGCAAGGCTACCCATACTAGCTGACTTCCTACTCAAAGCATCGGCCACCACATTGGACTTCTCGGGATGATACAAGATGCTGATATCATAGTCTTTAAATAGCTCCAACCACCTCCTCTGCCTCAAATTGAGCTCCTTTTGCTTGAACAAATAGTGCAAACTCTTGTGATCTGTGAACACTTCACACGACACGCCATATAGATAGTGCCTCCAAATCTTCAGCGCGTGAAAAATGGATGCTAGATCCAAGTCATGAACTGGATAATTCTACTTGTGATTCTTCAACTTCCGCGAAGCATATGCAATAACCTTGCCATTCTGCATCAACATCGCACCAAGTCCAATACGAGATATGTCACAATATACTGTATATGGCCCTAAACCTGTAGGCAACACCAACACCGACGTCGTAGTAAAAGCTATCTTGAGCTTCTAAAAGATCACCTCACACTCGTCCGACCACCTGAACGGGGCACCCTTCTGGGTCAACAAGGTCATCGGGGCTGCTATGGATGAAAACCCCTTCACAAACCAATGTTAATAACCCGCTAAACCCAAGAAACTTCGGATCTCCGTAGCTGACGTGGGCCTAGGCCGGTCCTTAACTACCTCAATCTTCTTAGGATCTACCTAAATACCCTCTGCTGATACAACGTGACCCAAGAAAGTAACTGAACTCAACCAAAACTCACATTTCGAAAACTTAGCATATAACTGACTATCTCTCAGAGTCCGAAGAACAATCCGAAGATGTTGCTCATGCTCCTCTCGGTTGCGGGAGTAGATCAAGATATCATCAATGAAAACAATCATAAAGGAATATAGGTAGGGCTTGAACACTCGGTTCATCTTATCCAGAAAATGTTGTTGAGGCATTTGTCAACCCGAATGACATCACTAGATACTCATAATGCCCGTACCGACTGTAAAAAGTTGTCTTAGGGACATCGGATGCCCTAATCCTCAACTGATGGTAGCCAAACCTCGAATCAATCTTTGAAAACATCTTTGCACCCTGAAGCTGATCAAATAAATCATCAATCCTCAGCAATGGATACTTGTTCTTGATGGTGACTTGTTCAATTGCCGATAATCTATGCACATCCTCATTGATCCATCCTTTTTCTTTACAAACAACACTGGTGCACCCCAAGGCAAGACAGTGGGCCTAATAAAGCCCTTATCAAGCAAATATTGCAATTGCTCCCTCAATTCTTTCAACTCTGGCGGAGTCATATAGTATGGTAGAATAGAAATGGGCTGAGTGCTAGGAACCATATCAATGCAAAAGTCAATATCCCTGTAGAATGGCATCCCTGACAGGTCTGCAGGAAATACCTCTGGAAACTCACGAAAACTGGTACGGAGTCCATGGAAGGAACCTCCGCACTAGAACCGCGAACATAAGCCAAATAACTCAAACACCCCTTCTCGACCATACGTCGAGCCTTCACATAAGAAAGGGCCCTATTGGTAGAATGACTAGGAGTCCCTCTCCACTCCAATCGAGGCAACCCCAGCAAGGCTAAGGTCATGGTCTTGGCGTGACAGTCCAATATGGCATGATAAGGTAAAAACCAATCCATTCCTAAAATGACATCAAAATCGACCATATCAAGAAGTAGGAGATCTACACAGGTCTCAAGACCCCCAATAATAACCACACACAAACGATAGACACGATCTACAATAATAGAATCACCCACCGGTGTGGACACATATATAGCAGCAATCAAATAATCATGAGGCACAATCAAATAGGTAACAAAATAAGATGACACATAGGAGTATGTAGACCCTAGATCAAATAGAACTGAAGTATCTCTACTGCAAACTAAAACCGTACCTATGATAATGACATTGGATGCGTCAGCCTCAGGCTTGGCTGGGAAAGCTTAACATCGGGGCTGGGCTTCACCACTCTGAACTGCATTCCTGGGACGGCCTCCTGCTGGCTGGCCTCCACCTCTAGGTGCCTAACCCCTACCTCTACCTGACTGAGCGGGTAGTGAAACACCCGGTGCCGGGACCATGGCACGAGAACCCTGATCTGAGAACTGCTCGATACCTGAGGGTAATACCTAGCAATATTCCTCGAATTTCCACAAGTATAACAAGACCTCGGCTATTGAGAATGCTAGCCCTGAACCTGACCCTGACAGCCTGGGTAACCACTCTGGAAACTCTGGAGCGGAGGTGCACTGATAGGAGCTGGTGGTGCACTGTAAGGTAGCTGATCAGAATAGTGGATATGAGAGCCACGACCACCTGACACATCGTGAGAAGCCTGAAGTGTTGAATGAAATGTCCTGGGAGGATAACCTCTACCAAAAGAATCCCTGGCTCCAGACGAGGCACCACTGAACCTACCAGAATGACGATGCCTCTTATCAGACCACTTACCACTCTCCTGAGCTAAAACCATCTCCACTCGCCTGGCTACGTTGGTCGCATCTTGGAAAGAAATCTCGCTCCTTGTCTCCTTAGCCATCTACAATCTGATAGGCTGAGCGAGTCCCTCAATAAACTTCCTCTCTCTCTCTCTCTCTCTCTCTCTCTCTTGATAGGAAGTATAAGAATAGCATGGCAGGCCAAATCAACAAACCTAGTCTCGTACTGAGTGACGGTCATAGAACCCTGCTGAAAATGCTTGAACCGCCTGTGATAGTCCTTTCTCTGAGTAACTGGAAGGAACTTCTCGAGAAATAGTTGAGAGAACTGGTCCCAAGTCAGGGCAGGCGACCCAGCAGGTCTAGTCAACACAAAATCATTCCACCATCTCTTGGGGGAACCTATCATCTGGAATACAGCAAAGTCAACCCCATTGGTCTCCACTATCCCCATGTTCTGCAACACCTCATGGAAGTGGTCAAGATAATCCTGGGGTTCCTCAGAAGTTGCCCCACTGTAATGAACCGAGAAAAGCTTGGTGAACTTGTCCAACCTCAACAAAGCCTCAGAAGACATGACTTATCCACCAGCGACCTGTGCCGCAATAGCTGGCTGAACTACTCCAACTGGCTGAGCTTCCGGAGTTTGAAACTGAGGAGCCAACTGCTTCGGAGTGTGGGTAGGGGGAGTCTGTGCTCCCCCCCAGCCTGAGAGATGGCTAGTGCCACAGGAACTGTTCCAGTCTAAGCTACACTCTCCATAAGACCCACTAAACCGACCAAAGCATCCTAAAGCACTGGATGGCTATGAACCCCTCCCCCCCGGGACCTAAGCTGGTCTTGCTGGAACGGCATGGGCTGGAGCCTTCTCATCAAACTCTACTTGAGGCTCTGACGCTGGTGTTGCTGCTTGAGATCTGGGCTGAGCCCTGCCCCTGCCTCGGCCTCTAACACGACCTCGGCCTCGTCCTCCGCCCCTCATAGGAGCTGCTGCTGGGGGCTCGGGCTGCTAGTCAACTAATGAAGCGGTACGTGTTCTCGCCATATGCGAATGAACCAGAGTAAAAAGTTCAATTAGCATTGAGAAATCAAACCGCACGGCAGAGAAGAATAGAAGTGAAGTTGTTCCTAAACTCTGTAGCCTCTGGGGATAAGCATAGACGTCTCGGCACCGATCCCTCAAACTCTACCTAGCTTGTTCGTGAATCATGAGACCTAGGCAACCTAGTGCTCTGATACCAACTTCTCACGACTCGGATTTCCCACCTTCGGGATCATGATGACACCTAATTCTTAGAATGTTAGGCAATCCAACAGATACAGTTCTAACACATTAATATTTAGCCAAAACAGTAATTAACCATAACTTAAACTAAACAAATAAGACGTGCGGAAATTATATAATAGTTTAAAATTCTAATACACGACTACCCAAAAGATCTGGTGTCACAATCCATGAACTTCTAAAACATTTCTACAAATACTGGTTTAAAAGAAATATATCCGTTCTCGAAATGAAAGGAGACATGAAAACTAAGATAGAGGGAAGGAAACTCCAGGGTCTGCGAACGCCGGCAAATCTACCTTGGGTCTCCTGGTGAACTGAAGGCAGCAACCCAAATTCTAATCACGAGGTTCGGCACCGAAATCTGCACAGAAAGTGCAGAGTGTAATATCAGTACAACCAACCACATGTACTGGTAAGTGCTGAGCCTAACCTCGACGAAGTAGTGACGAGGCTAGGACACAACAAATAACATAAACCTGTGTAGTTAAATTATATACGAGAAGCTGATAATAGTAGAAATTTAATAGATAATAACAAGAAGGGGGAAAACATGTTGAGGGGAATATTAAATTCTGAAAATAATACAGTACAAAAACATAGTAAATATCATGCTTTGAACCAACGAAAATAATAACATAGCAACATGTGCACGACATCACCATTCGTGCATTAATTCTCTCATAACATGGCATGGCATCACCCTTCGTGCATTATCAATATCAGAATACAGCACGACATTACCCTTCGTGCATTAACACTGACAGAATATGGCAAGGCATCACCATTCATGCTTTACACTCTTCCTCACCCAAACAGCAGAAATAATAACAACCCAACAAAGGAATCATCAATAAACAGCCTCATTTCAATATTTAATTTCACAATAGAAATCCCAACTTGAGTCAATACTCACAATTATCCAATACCAGGAAAACATAATAAGACTTATTTAACATGAAGAATAACTAGTTTAAGCATGAGCAGTACATATAAAGAAACACAATAGTCACAAGTATATGACTCACTCGCATGCTATGACCCGACAACAACGCATAGATACTCGTCACCTTACCTATACGTCGTACTCAACAACTAAACAAGTAGCAGATAAGGCAACAATACCTAATCCCTCAAGTTAAGGTTAGCTACAACACTTACCTCAATTCCACGGCTGATCTCAAAGCTCAATCACAGCTTTTCCTTTCACACAAACCTCCAGACAAATAGAATCTAGAAAATTACCAACCAAACAATTCAATTTAAGCCTTAGGAACTTCCTATGATAGCAAGAAATTCAATTTAGGTCATTTTTTAAAAAGTCAAAAAAAGTAAACACCCGGCCCGCTTGGTCCAAATTCAAAATTCGAACCAAAACCTGATTACCCATTCACCCAAGAGCGCAGATATACAATTGGTTTTGGAATCTGACCTCAATTTGAGGTCTAAATTCTAAAATTTCGAAATTTCTAAGTTTTACACAAAACTCTCCAATTCCACCATGAAAACTCCAGATTCTAAGATGAAATCTTGTAAAAAGAAGTAAAAGTGTGAAAGAAATGAGTTAAGAATCATTTACTTATGATTTGGGGAAGAAAAAGTATTTGGAAAATCGCCTCTTATGTCTTAGGGTTTTGAAAAAGTGAAAAATGGATGAAAAGTCTCGTTTATATAGCACCCCCGGATCCTCACTACGCGGTCCGCAAAATCTCGGGCGCGGTTGCGAACCTTCACCGCGTTTCACAAAATTATGGGCGCGACCGCGAAACCTTGGCCTTACCCTACCGCGTCCGCGAACCTTCACTGCGGTCCGCAAAATTATGGGTGCGGCCACGAAACCCTTGGCCTTACTCTACCGCGTCCGCGAAACCTCCACCGTGGTCCGCAAATTTCACTCCGTGGCCGCACTCCTAAGATCTGAGACCTGCAAAATTTCGGCAACTATCCCACACCAGGTCTTCCTCTAAGTCTAGACACCCCGTAGCCTATCTGAAACCCACCCAAGCCCTCATGGCTCCAAACCAAATATGCACACAATCTTAGCCCATCATATGAACTTTCTCGGGCGATCAAATTTCCAAAATAACATCTAGCACTACGAATGTAGCACCAAATTGCATAAGTTTTCAAGAAAGTTTCAAAACTTCAAACTTTTCAACCAAAGGTCCGAATCCAGTCAAATAAACTTCGTTCCTCACCAAATTTCACGGACATGAATTAAATACCATATTAAACCTGTAGCGGGCTCCGGGACCAAAATACAGGCCTGATACCAACAAGATCAAACATTATTCAATTTCTAAAAACTCATTATATTTTCAGTTAAACAATTTTCTTCAAAAAATTATTTCTCGGGCTAGAGACCTCGGAATTCAATTTCGGGCATACACCTAAGTCCCATATTTTACTACCAACCCTCCGGGACCGTCAAAATACGGGTCCGAGTCCATTTACTCAAAATATTTACCGAAGTCAACTTAGTATTTTCTCAAATTTTTATATAAAGACTTTCCGGAATTGCTCCCAGACTGTACACGCAAATCGAGAAAAAAGAAAATAAGTTCTTGAAGGCCTCAGAAATCTGATGAGTTCTAAAATACGAGATGACCTTTTGGGTTATCACACTACTACTTTTTCTCCTAATATTGTCACTATTTTTAATGAAAATTCTCCTTAAGTGATTCATGTTGATAGCCTATTACATAATGGTTTGTTGATATGAACATTTTAACAGTAGGTCTATGAGCTACATGAGAAAGATAAAAGATTCTATTTCTTGTTTTCTTTTATTCTAAATATGTCATGGATGAATGAAGCTTTTGTCACACCTCCTTTTTCACCACACCCCCGGAAGGGTATAAAAGAGTTTTTCCAATTAAAGGACAATCGAAACATGATTTATTATTAAAAAATTCAGAGTCTCCACTTGAGAGATTTATGGTGTCCCAAGTCACCGGTTCCAATCCTGATTCGAGGAAAAAAATTGACTCTGTTTAACAGTCCGCGAACCAGAAATCCGGGTAAGGAATTCTTTAACCCGGGAGAAGGTGTTAGGCATTACTGAGTCCCGTGGTTCTAACACGGTCGCTCAACTGTTATACTCGGCTTAATTATCTGATTTTAGACAATTATGAACCTATATGCAAATTTTAACTTTAACCGCTTTTATTTATTGTTTAAAAAAAATTGCAACGTTATTAAAACACGTTTCGAACCACGTCACATAAATGCACCCGTGATTTTGACATATTTTAACATTGTTGAGATTTGGATTTGGGTCACATAAATGCGCACCCGAATTTAAGAAGGTAAATTATTAAATGACGCGCCTAAAGTAAACTACAAATGTTCATGGTTTAATTTATTTCAGCGCATCCCTTGGATTAACAAGCAATTCCATGTTTCCCTCTATCAGCACAAACCCCATATGGATTTAATATAGGGACGGGCAGTCAAGCAATTTTGGGAACCAAACAATTTGATAGCAGCAAACTCAAACATGGACAAAAATACAAAATGAAAGGCTAAACGTGGCCTTGACCCTTCAACTAGCTTGAGACAACTAAGGGAATCAGAAATTCAAAGAAATTGAAGGAAAATTGCCAAAACTTGAAACGATCGAACTGGTAAAAGGTCAACGAGGACTAAGAATATCCAACAGAATGTGTAAGCAAGCTTCAAAGACATCCTAGAGAAGCTATAGTAACAATTGAAACCCAAAATCATTTCAGCCAGAGAATATCACCCATGAAGAACAGTTGGACCTCGCGTAGAATTACTCCAAAGCTAAAGGATTTTCTATCACCAGATCTTTTTAAAAAAAAAAGAATGAAAAACAGAGGAAGTTTAAACAGCTTAACAACTCTGACAAATATCCCGGAACACTGCATATTTCAACACAATTCATTGCTTGAATCAATTGTTTTTAGCAGCACGACAGAACAGAGTTCTTGTAGCTGTAACAATGCAGATACATTTTCGAAGAAGAAAATGAGGATAGAGCAAATCTATACATATACAAGCAGCGAAACAGTTTAGTTTCAACACCATTTTAAACCAAGATCTAATAAGAATGAATCGTCAAGTGGCGTACCAAATTCACAAATTCTTGCAAGCAACAGAGGATCCTACTGCCTGTGTGATTTAACATGAAAAAGCCAAGACAACCTAACATGGGCTAACTCACTAAGACATAAACCAATGTAGATTAGTGTCAGATTTTAAAATCAAACAGAACATGATACTACATGGATCACTGAGATTCAATCCAGACATTATTGTTATCCTAGGAATACAAGAAGAATTACCAGGACTGAATTTTAGGATTTAAATAGCATATTTCTAGTACAGCAGTCTACAGAACTATTAATTAACCCCCTGAACTTTACGGCTCAAACAAGGTACAGCGGAAGGAACATACAAGGACTAGATGAACCCTTAAGTCAATAACTCCATCAAAGTTTTCTTGATTTCAAATGTAAAACAGGAAAAAGAATCGAGTCAAACTTTCATGTTCTAATGCCATAACAGAAGTAGGAAAAATGATACGAATCGCGAATATACGGACATTCCTTCGACATGAGAGCAATCCATGAACATAGACCAATGAATCAGAATCACAACACACTATTAACAAGAGCACAGATTATATTTCAATACTTAAAACCTTGGATTTTCATGAATAATCACAAAACTTCCCTTTTGTTTCCTCAGAAGAAAAAAAACAATCTGAACTTAGTTTCATTTCAGGAATGTCCAGTTACATAACATCGGAGAAAATCGACATAACTCAACAGAATTTACCGGAAAAAAAAATCTCAGCTAGTCACAAATCGATAAGAAACCAAATTCGAACTCACTGATAACGCTCAAATGACAGCAACAATGGAGTACAAACTCAGAAATTCCATAGCTCAAGAACAGCTGAGAAAACAGAGTTACATGGGATAAAAATAAAAATCAAACCTGAAGTTGCAACCTTCTTTTAATAATTATAGCTTTAATAATACGCCTTTTGCCTCCGAGTTCTAGCGAGGTTCAGCAACAAATCAGCAGGACGACAGTAGAAAACCAAGCTTGAACTTCAATTTGTATCTCTTTGGAACTCAAATCTGGATCCGAAAAAATAAAAAAAAAGTGTATGCTTCTCTTAACCTTTGAAAGAACTCTTAAACGAAGGAAAAAAGAAAAAGAGAACAGAAACCAAAAGTTAAAGAAAACCCTTCAACTTTTCTCTCCAAAATTTTTTACCAGCATCCCCCTCTCAAAATCAGATCTCGTTCCTTTTTGAGGACGAACCCCTTTATGAATGTGGGGCTCGGATTGAGTGAAATCAATCCAACGCCTCACACTCATCCAGCGAATCCTCCTTCAGAACCTTCCAATCGTTAGATAAATCCAAATTCGAGCGAGTGAGAGGAGAGGGGAATCTTGGCATCAGAAACCGTTAGAATGGCAAGAGGAAAGATGGAACGACGCGTGGGTTAGGGATTTGGGATCACTCACCATGGATTTGGCGAGTTGAAACGCGGCTTTGTGAAGGAGACGATGAGCAGTGCGCGTCTTTGGGGATTTAGGGATTTTTGGGTCTATGTACAACTGAATGCATATTTGTTTGAGATGGGTCGGGTTTGGGAAGGGGAAATGTTTGGGCTGGGTGGAAAAGTTGAAGAGTGGCCCAACTAATTCCTCCTCTCATTAAATTCCTTTTGTTTTCTCTATTTTTCTCTTCTTCTTTTTTCAAAATTAAATTAATTCCTAAATTCATCCTTAGAACCTAATTAACTTAAATAAAATATTAATTAAACCTAAATGATAATTAACACAATTAATTAAAAATAAAAAAATAAATTAATTAATTAAAAGAAAAACTACTCAAAATCAAAAGTTGAAATTAAAAGTGCAAATTAAACTATCTTTGTGATTTTTCCTTTTTATAAAATAACCTAATTACTTAATTAATCCTAAAATGCTAAATTAAATCCTAAATGTAAATGCTCATATTTTGTATTTTTCATTAATTAAATAAAATAAACATGCGCAGACAAATACAAACAATAACAAAGTACTACGAAAATCCACGAAATTACAAACACTGAAAGGAATTATTTTGTGTTGAATTGATGGGAGTAATTCATATAGGGCAAAAATCAAGTGCTCACAGCTGCCCCTCTTTGCTCGAAAACACGAAGAGTTTTCGTGCAAAGATAAAGTGAGTGGATACAAATGATTTTTGCCCGTTTAAATACTCCGTGGGAAGCATTTTTGAAAGATTTGACTGCACCCTGCTTCCGAGGTTGCCTATATATTCTTGGCTAAAAAGGAATCAGGTCAGTGTAGTTCAGGAATGTTTGGTAGCTGGGATTACCATGAAGCTGTGATTTCACTATTGTTGTTGCTGCTACTACTGCTTACTGAACCCCCTTATTACATCATGTCAAAAATAAAAGAAGCTAGACTAGACTATGATTTACGCTTTACAAAATCTTATCTATATCTTCAAACTTGCTCTTGTGTTTCTTGTTGCCTTGTTGACTTATATTCTCCTGGTGAAATCCATTTGTTACCGCCTTGAAATGTAATCTGAGATGTTTTCCCTTTCTCCAGGTGGATGCCTGACTGCTGAATTTGATATGTATTCCCATGCTCTCCAGGCGGGCACCTGACTCCAAAACGTGAATATATTCCCATGCTATCCAGGCGGGCTACTGAGTACGAAACGTGAATGTATTCTCATGCTCTCCAGGCGGGCTCCTGACTTCGAAACGTGAATGTATTCCCATGCTATCCAGGCGGGCTCCTGACTTCAGCAAAATAGACAAAAACAAAGAAACTTTTCTGGCCCAGTTTGGGTATGTGGGCCCATGTGTAAGTGCAAAACGAATCACATTGCCGAATATCAAAGAATTTTGGAAAACCAAAACTTGAATTGTACTCCCTTGTTCTCGAGGCGGGCTCCTGACTGTTAAACTTGAAAGTATTCCTTGCTTTTCAGGCGGGCGTCCTAACTTCAATTTGAAATGTATTCCCTGCTTTCCAGGCGGGATCCTCACTTCAACTTGAAACGTGTTCCCTGCTCTCCAGGCGGGCTCCTGATTGCTAAACTTGAGTGTATTTCCTGCTCTCCAGGCAGGCTCCTGATTTCAACTTGAAACGTATTCCCTGCTCTCCAGGCGGGCTCCTGATTGCTAAACTTGAAACGTATTCCTTGCTCTCCAGGCGGGATCCTTACTGCTGACTTGAAATGTATTCCCTGCTCTTCAAGCGGGCTCCTAACTACTGACTTGCAATTCTTCTCCCTGTTCTCCAAGTGGGTACCTGATTTCTACAAAATAGACAAAACAAAGAAAACTTTTTGCCCCAGTTTGGTAGCTGGGCACATATGTGAGTGTTAAACTGAATCATATTACCAAATATTACTAAGAATTTGAAAGTTAGGTCTCATTATCCAGGGGGGTCCTGACAATTCTTACCTAAACGAAAATTTAAATCTAAGCTATAACTTTTAAAGGCATGACTTCTGCTACATCTTGTTATCTAAGAAGATCTTAAACTACTCCCCATTATCTAGGAGGGTCCTGAAAATCCAAAGTCAAATTTTATCTTAAGAGTGATAGCTTTTATAGCTGAATTATACTACCCTACAACAAGATTTATGCTAAATGTTGCTATCTAACCGAAACTTTAAAGCTAAGTCCCATTATCCAGGAGGGTCCTGAAAACTCTTAATTGAATCCTATCTCGAACATGCAAACTTTTACACCGACTTATATTCCTTTGGGATGCATTTATGCTAGATTATGCTATTTTGAACATTTAAACTAGGTCTCATTTTCTAGGAGGGTCCTGAAAATCAAAAATCAAACCTGTTTGGTGACTGCCTTTCTCCACGGAAGGTTTCTCTGAAACAAACAAAATTTCCTGCCCCTGTTTAACCAAAGAAAAATCTTGTCAGTTTTAAATATGGTGGTTAGTTGATGGCATTCTTGCTGAAGGTCTCTCCGCTGCATTGTTTTGTTTTGACTGGCTTCTCTGAGCTGGCCCTGAACCACTTGACTTTCCGACTGACTTTCAAAAACCCATAACTTAAATGGCCCGCGTGTTCTATCCCCGAACCGTTGTTTCACATCCCTGACCCCTTTAACTGAACCTCTGCATCTCCCATGAAATCATCAGATCATTTTGCCGATGGAACTCTTACTGGCATTTTATTCCCTTTTACATCATGCTATCTTTGGTATGCTCTAGCCGCACTGTGCTTTGCAATCTTGAAGCTGGTAGTGAGCTTTGAAATTCCTTCTTATTTGCTTAAACAAAACTGACATTTGGAACATCTTAGAGAAATAAACCCAAAGAAATGAAATGCAGTGACTTTCAGAGTTAAGGATAAGGAAATCCAAAACTGGAAGACTAACTGAAGAGAAAAAGAAAAGAATCTTATCTGAGTGGAACAACTGGCACCAATGATCATGACATGCAATTTGGATTAATCGGCCCAATCTGTCCAACCAATCAACTTTCAGTTGCCATACTTTGTTGCCCTAGAATTTTCATAACTTGATTTCTTCACCTCAAATCCCGACCTTGTTCATCCTGTGGTGCCTTGAAAGGTTTTCACCAGTAGACCTCTATGATTCCTTCATCTGTCAACTGACTTTCGCCTTAAGGTGCCCGTGAGGGTTTTCACCAATAAGAATCTCTCATTTTTTATTCCTCTCAGCTCCCGGCGCCTTATGGTGCCCATGAGGGTTTTCACCAGTAAGACTCTCTCATTTTTCAGTTCTTTTCCCTGTTTGGACCAAAGTGTTGCCCCCTGATATGAATCACTTCTCCCTGCTCGACTTGGCTTTCTCGAAGACTGATTGGAAGGTCTTTCTTTGGACCGTAATGTGGCTTTTGGATGGGGTTAGAAAGAAAGGGTGTAAAAGGCTCAACACAATTCAAATAGGTTAAAATTACAACTTTCGGAATCAGATTTCTCGCAACAACCACAACTTCTGCCCCAGTTTCTTTCTTGGGAGCTTTTGGATTTTTGTTTTGATGGGACCGAACCGTGAGGCTGCCTACGTATCCTTAAAAGGAATCAGGTCGAACGTAGTTCATGACATAGGAATTACTTTGTTTGTCGTGCTTTTTCTTCCCTTTTCTTTCTCTTCTTTTCCTCTTTTGTTTTTCCGTTTGTCATTGTTGTTGTTTTTTTTCTCTTTTTTTTTCTTTTCTTTCTCTTTCCATTCTTTTCTTTCTCTTTTTTTTTTCCTTTCTCTTTTTCTCTCCTTTCTTTACTTATCTTTACGCTTGTGTTTCCGATATTTTCTATTGATTCCGAATGAGGAGTATGAAAGAAAATAAATGAGGCTCAAAGGGGTAACGAGGGATAAAGTGTTTAGATAGCAGAACAAAATGTCTTCGTCATTTCAATATTCGAGACATGCCAAATACAAACAAGTACAATCAAAGAAAGAAATTATACACAATATCTCTTGACTACATCAGAATTGATAGCCATTTCTACACATTTGCCTTCTACATCTGTCAAATACAATGAACCATTGGACAACACTCTAGTCACAACGAATGGCCCCTGCCAATTTGGGGCGAATTTTCCTTTTGCTTCAACTTGATGAGGAAGAATGCGTTTCAATACTAACTGCCCCACTTCAAACTTTCGTGGACGCACCTTGTTGTTGTATGCTCTTGTCATTCTCTGTTGATACAACTGGCCATGATACACTGTTGCCATTCTCTTCTCATCGATCAAACTCAATTGTGCTAAGAGGGTTTTGACCCACTCCTCATCATCGATCTCAGCCTCCGCGACAATTTTAATGGATGGAATTTCCATGTTTGAGGGTATTACTGCTTCAGTGCCATATACCAACAAGTAAGGAGTCGCCCCTACTGAAGTACGGACAGTAGTGCGATAACCCAGCAATGCAAACGGCAGCTTTTCATGCCACTGCCTAGAACCCTTCACCATTTTTCGAAGTATCTTCTTTATATTCTTGTTAGCCGCCTCAACTGCTCCATTTGCCTTGGGGCGGTACGGGGTGGAATTGCGATGTGTGATCTTGAACTGCTGACATACCTCTTTCATCAGATGACTATTGAGATTAGCCCCATTGTCTGTAATGATGACCTTCGGTATCCCAAACCGGCAAATGATATTTGAATGCACAAAATCAACCACCGCCTTCTTGGTTACAGACTTGAATGTTTTAGCCTCTACCCACTTGGTAAAATAATCGATGGCTACCAGAATAAACTTGTGCCCGTTGGACACTGCTGGCTCGATTGGTCCAATGACATCCATTCCCCAAGCAACAAAAGGCCATGTTGCAGACATTGTATGTAATTCATATGGTGGAGAATGAATCAAATCTCCATACACTTGGCACTGATGACATTTACGCACGAAACTGATACAATATCGCTCCATGGTGAGCCAATAATAACCTGCCCAGAGGATCTTCTTTGCCAGCACATACCCACTCATGTGCGGTCCACAGACTCTAGAATGTACTTCGGTCATGATAGCCGTGGCCTGTTTGGCATCTACATATCTTAATAACCCAAGATCT